ATTGTTGTTAATTAAACAGCAATCAAAGGGAAAAAAAAAAACTTCCCCATGGGCTGGGATCAATCCTGCTGAGGTTTTATTCTCTTACAGCCAACAGGGACTAAAAATTTGGTTCTGGGATGGGAAAAATCTGATAAATGTTGGAAATCCAAAACCCATCCAAAATCTGATAAATGATGGAAATCCAAAACCCGTTTGCAAGGAGGAGATTTCTCCGATGGCAGCAGAGCAGAGCTGATCATTATCAGGGAAAAGAAACACCTTGAAATTAATTTAAATAAATTAAACAGCTCCATTTCTGTGGAAAAAAAATCCAGGAAAAACAAAAAAAAGCACCTGAAATTATTTCAATTAATTAAATAGATTAACAGCATTTTAGTGGTAAAAATTGAGAAAATATTGGTATTCAGGACCCCAAAATTCCCCGATTTTTACCCCAAAACAATTCCCCCATTCAGGTGCTGCCAGGTCAAGCTTTGTCCAGAAAAGTTTTGGCAACAGCTCCTGGGAAAGGTCAGAGCTGTGGTTTGGGTCAGTTCAAGGTAAGTTTCCACTTTAGCTTATTTTTTTTTTAAGAGAGAAAAGAATTTTGAAAGAAAGAGACTTTAAAGAATTTTAAAAGAAAATAATTTAAAAGAATTTAAAAATAATTTTAAAAGAATTTTAAGAGTTTTTAAAGAGATAGAAGAAGACAATTGTTCATTTTCCCTGTTAAAATCAGCTTTTCCCAGCAGTAACTCCCACTTTATTTATTTTAAGATACAAAAGAATTTTAAATTTATTTTTTAAGGATTTTAAAATAATTTTTAAAATAATTTTAAAAGATTTTAAAAGAATTTTAAAATAATTTTAAAATAATTTAAACAGAAATTTTAAATAATTTTTAGAGATAAAAGAAGATAATTGTTCCTTTTCCCCTGTTAAAATCAGCTTTTCCCAGCAGCAACTCCCACTTTATTTATTTTAAGATATAAAAGAATTTTTAAATTATTTTTTAAGAATTTAAAAAGAATTTTTAAAAGAATTTTAAAAGATTTAAAAATAATTTTAAAATCATTTTAAAATCATTTAAAAAGAAATTTTAAAATAATTTTTAGAGATAAAAGAATTGTTCCTTTTCCCCTGTTAAAATCAGCTTTTCCCAGCAGCAACTCCCACTTTAAGATATAGAAGAATTTAAAAATTATTTTTTAAGAATTTAAAAAGAATTTCAAAAGATTTAAAAAGAATTTTAAAATAATTTTAAAATCATTTAAAAAGAAATTTTAAAATAATTTTTAGAGATAAAAGAAGAGAATTGTTCCTTTTTCCCTGTTAAAATCAGCTTTTCCCAGCAGTAATTCCAAGCCACGGGGGCACCAACTCTTGGAGATAATTAAACCCAATTAAAGGTGATTATTGCCCATGAACGAGCTGCAATAAATGCATCGAGAGGCAGAGGAAAAAAAGAGATTTTACTGCAAGAACTTTATTGCACCAGGTTCCAGAGCTGAGCCAGGAGCTGTGCCACCCCCAGCTCCTGGGGACACCGGGATAATTTGCATTTCCCCCTCTAATTAAGGCTGGATATGATAATTAGGACATCACAAATCAAGGGGGGAATTAGGGGAGCAGTGGGAAGAATGTGAAGTTGTACATGGAGCATTTAAAATTTGGTTTATTTTATTATTTTCTTGTTCTTCAAGGAGGAGTTGGGGTTTGCGTTCAGCTCAGCACCTTCCCCTCACATCTGAATTCCAGAATTTGTCCAATTGGTTTAAAAACCAGGATACCTTTGGCTAAAATTCCATTTTTTTTCTTTGCAGAAAGGTTTATTTTTATTGACTCCTCACGCTCTGAGGGTGGGAGGGGAAGGCAAAAGGGCAAAATTGTGATTTTTTTTTTTTCAGCACCATTTCCCTCCCTCCCCAGGGCAGCAGCCATCCCAAAAAACACTCCCAGCTCTCCTTGATCCATGAAAAAATCAGAATATTCCACAGGGAGGAGGGAATTCAGCACAACCTGGAGGCAGGGAGGGTTTGGGGAGCTTCCCCTGAGGGGTTTTGACAAACACTGACATTTGCTGGGTCAATTTATAAAATCTCTGCCAAGGTTGGGATTCCTAAAATTCATTTTCTGTGTTCTGGAAAGGCTCCTGCAGGAGTTTGGGAAAAGGAGAAATCCTGGGATTGGAGGATGAGGAAGGGAGGGGGATGAAACCTGCTGCAGGTACAGCCCAAAAAATCAAAATTTCAAAATATCCTGAGGGAACAGGGCCCGAAACCTGGATCCAAACCCTTCCAAGGCTGGGTATTGTGGGAAAAAATATGGATATTATGGAGAAAAAATATGGATATTATGGAAAAAAATATGGATATAATGGAAATTTATCCAGGAGAATGTACAACATCACTCCTGGGGCAGCCAAAGTCAAAAATGTGTTTGGTAGGAGCAGCCTGGCCTGCTCCTAAAATCTCTTCATTTATTCACTGGCAGCCCCACAAAATCCAAATTTTTGGGTTTGCTGATGAAGGATGTCAGGATTTTGGGGTGGAAATTAGGATTCTCCCTTCCAAAAACCCCAATAAAAAAGAATTGGAGGCTCAGCTGAGAAAATTCCCCCTCACACCAAGTGAGGCCTTCCCTCAAAATCCCAATTTGCTGTGCTCAGCAAGGCGGATCCAAACCCTTCCAAATGTGGATATTATGGAAAAAAAATATAGATATTATGGAAAAAAATATGGATATTATGGAAAAAATATGGATATTATGGAAAATTACCCCAGAAAAAGGTGTTCAAGGTAACCCCTGTGGCAGCCAAAATCAAAAATGTGTCTGGTAGGAGCAGCCTGGCCTGCTCCTAAAATCTCTTAATTTATTCACTGGCAGCCCCACAAAATCCAAATTTTTAGGGTTTGCTGATGAAGGGTGTCAGGATTTTGGGGTGGAAATTTGGATTCTCCCTCCCAAAAACCACTAAAACAAATAAGAAGGCAATCAGAGGCTCAGCTGAGAAAATTCCCCCTCACACCAAGTGAGGCCTTCCCTCAAAATCCCAATTTCCTGTGCTCAGCAAGATGGATCCAAACCCTTCCAAATATGGGTATTATGGAAAAAAATATAGATATTATGGAAAAAAATATAGATATTATGGAAAAAATATGGATATGAAGGAAAATTATCCAGGAAAAGGCGCAAGATCGCACCTGAAGCAGCCAAAATCAAAAATGTGTTTGGTAGGAGCAGCCTGGCCAAAATGGCTCCTGAAATCCTTTAATTCACACCCCAACAGCCCCAAAAATCCAAATTTTTAGGGTTTGCTGATGAATTGTGTCAGGATTTTGGGGTGGAAATCCAAAAAACCTCAATAAAAAAGAATTGGAGGCTCAGCTGAGAAAATTCCCCCTCACACCAAGCGAGGCCTTCCCTCAAAATCCCAATTTTCTGTGCTCAGCAAGGTGGATCCAAACCCTTCCATATGTGGATATTATGGAAAAAAATATAGATATTATGGAAAAAATATGAATATGCTGGAAAATTATCCAGGAAAAGGTGCAAGAACACACCTGAAGCAGCCAAAATAAAAAATGTGTTTGGTAGGAGCAGCCTGACCTGCTCCTAAATCCCTTAATTTATTCACTGGGAGCCCCACAAAATCCAAATTTTTAGGGTTTGCTGATGAAGGATGTCAGGATTTTGGGGTGGAAATTTGGATTCTCCCTCCCAAAAACCCCTAAAACAAGTAAGAAGGCAATCAGAGGCTCAGCTGAGAAAATTCCCCCTCACACCAAGCGAGGCCTTCCCTCAAAATCCCAATTCCCTGTGCCCAGCAAGGCTGGGAATGTGGACAGCAGCAAAAAAAAAAAAAAATTAAAATAAAAAAGCCTTTTCCATCTTTCTGACAGAGAAATTCATTTTAAACCTTTGTCTGAATCGCCCCTTGCTCACCCAGGACACTTTGGAACATCAGTCTTGTGTGGCAGGATGGATTTTCTGTCTAAAATTAACATTTCAACCGAATTTTTTGGGAAAAAAATCCAAGTGACACACACAGAGAATCACACACATTCCCAAAAAACAGATTCACCACAGGGTTTAGGCAGTGAGGGTCCTGTTCAAGCCCCCCAGGAGTCAGAATTCCATGGAAAACATCCCCCAAAATCCCTGGGATGTGCCCAAAAAGGGGTTTAAGGCTGTCAAGGCTGTTCCTAGCCAGCTCCTCCTCATGTCCCTGCTTAAAAACCCAAAAATTTCCTTTTTTTTTTAAAGAGTTTAAAAAGGAATTCACATCTCAGGAATTCAATTTCCTGGCTGGGGGTGCTTTTCTCACCTCGAAAAAATCCTTTCTGCACAAGGCAATGCTCTGCTGCTTTTCCTTAGACATAAAGTTGACTTTATTTCTTTTCTTAAAAAGTTAAAAATACAGAAGGTTCAGAAAAACTGCTTTTCTCCTTGCAGGTTGCAGCTTAAGGAGAAAACAATCCTTCACTGAAATGTTTCTCTTAATTGGCTTTTTTATTATTATAATTATTATTATTATAGAATTTTCTAATTTTGGGGTTTTTTCCTCTCAATCATCATCACCCTTTTATTTTTAAGGACAGAGGTTGAGGAGCACTGACTCCACCACTAATTTAATGCCATTTTTTTCTTATTTTTTCTTATTTTTTTGATTCCAGATTCACATTTCCAGGTGCCAAGAGTCCAGAGAAGAGCCCCCCCGTTCACTTCTGCCTTCTTTTTGAGATCAATATTTTGGTTTTTGTGTTTATTTATTGAACACAGCAGTGACCGTTGGCATCTTTGAAGCGTAATCTCATCTTGGGCCGGTATTTCTCCAGGTAAAGCAGCTGTTTGGAATTGAAAGCTCCCCTCCTTTTCCTAAAAAATAAATCACAAAATAATGTAAATATCAATTAAAAAAAAAAAAAGCACCTTTATGTTCACTTCAGGAAGAGTAGTTTTAATTTTAATTATTTTAATGATATTTTATATTTAGTAATATTCAAGATGTATTGAAAGCTCCCCTCCTTTTCCTAAAAAATAAATCAGAAAATAATGTAGATATCAATGGAAAAAAAAAAAACAAAAAAGAAAAAAGAACCTTTATTTTCACTTCAGGAAGAGCAGTTTTAATTTTAATTATTTTAATAATGTTTTATATTTAGTAATATTCAAAATGTATTGAAAGCTCGCCTCCTTTTCCTAAGAAATAAATCACAAAATAATGTAAATATCAATGCAAAAAAATATGTTCACTTCAGGAAGAGTAGTTTTAATTTTAATTATTGTAATGATGTTTTATATTTAATATTATTCAAAATGTATTGAAAGCTCCCCTCCTTTTCCTAAAAGATAAATCACAAAATAATGTAGATATAAATGGGAAAAAAGAAAAAAAACACCTTTATGTTCACTACAGGAAGAGTAGTTTTAATTTTAATTATTTTAATGATGTTTTATATTTAATATTATTCAAAATGTATTGAAAGCTCCCCTCCTATCCCTAAAAAAACACAAAAAAGGTGAATATCAATGGAAAAAAGGCACAAGTTTGTTCACAGATTCGTTTTCAACTTAATTAATATTTTAATTCTATTTTATAATGAATAATATTTTGAATATTATTGAAAATATATGAAAATATATGAAAATATATGAAAATATATGAAATAATCAATATTATGGATAGCTCTCATCCTTTTCCTAAAAAAAAAAAAAAAAACACCACAAAAAAGGTGGATATCAATGGGAAAAAGGCACAATTTTGTTCACAGATTCCTTTTCATTTTAATTAATTTATCTTTTAAACACTGTTTTATATTGAATGATAGTAAAATATATTAAAGAATAAATATTATTGAAAGTTCCCCTCCTAATCCTAAAAAAAAATAATAAAAAATGTGGTTATCAATGATAAAAAGAAGCACCATTTTGCCCACTTCAGGCAGATTTTCACCTCACAAAATTCAAAATATTTGAGCTTTTCCTTCACATTTAACCCCAAATTTTCACGAAATATTCTTTATTTTAGGATAAAACTCATAAAAAACTTTAAATCTCTTCCTTAATAGGTTCAGGCAGAAAAAAAGCACAGAATAAAAGAGGAAAAAAAAAAAAAAAAGAGAATTTTCACTTACTGCCTTATAAACTGAACTGCATCCTCATATTTCATTCCACATTCAATGAGAGCCAGCGCCACCAGAACAGGAGCCCTGCAGGAAAAAATCAATATTTTAAGGGAAAAGCACAGAAAATAAGAAATAAACAAGAAATAATAAATGGAATTCTTCACATTTCATCCAATTCCTCTCCCCAAACAAGCACCAAAGGGTTTTTCCCCACACAAAAGTGTTTTGTCTGATGTAAAATGAATTTTTTATGGAAGGATTCTGCTTGTAAAAAAAATAAAAATCAATAGCAGCTCTTTTTAATTCTGAGTTTTTATCTCATTTTTTTGGGTTTTGACATCTCCTGAATGCTTTGAGCTGTGCAGACACTGAGCTATGGATTTAGAAATATTTCTATATTTTGCTTTTTTAACTAATTCTGTCAAGGAGCAGCAAAAAGGAGAATTTTCTGCGGTGGGATTTTCATTCCAGAAGATTTTTTACCCCATTTTTAAGGGTAAAAAAATGAGGTTTTAACACCCAGGAATCCCCAAATAAATTGAATTTTCTCCACCCCANAATTTTTGGGTATTTTTCAGGTTTGCAGGCGGATAAAATGCAAAATTGAATGTTTAACAACCATTATCTGGCTGGGGGGTGGCGCTCCGTCATAAACGGCCAGTCCTGAGGGGAGAAAATCCTTTAAACCCACAAATTCTGCATTTAGTCAAAACAAAAAAGGATAATAAACACAAATTTTGGGTATTTTTCAGGTTTGCAGGCGGATAAATTGCACCATTAAGTGTTTAACACCCATTATCTGGCTGGGCGGCGGCGCTCCATCATCAAACGGCCAGTCCTGAGGGGAGAAAATCCTTTAAACCCACAAATTCTGCATTTAGTCAAAAAATAAAAGGATAATAAACACAATTTTTGGGTATTTTTCAGGTTTGCAGGCGGATAAAATGCACCATTAAGTGTTTAACAACCATTATGTACAACAACCATTATCTGGCTGAGGGGCGGCGCTCCAACGGCCAGTCCTGAGGGGACAAAATCCTTTAAACCCACAAATTCTGCATTTAGTCAAAACAAAAAAGGATAATAAACACAGTTTTTGGGTATTTTTCAGGTTTGCAGGTGGATAAAATGCACCATTAAGTGTTTAACAACCATTATGTACAACAACCATTATCTGGCTGAGGGGCAGCGCTCTCGGTCATCAAACGGCCAGTCCTGAGGGGAGAAAATCCTTTAAACCCACAAATTCTCCATTTAGTAAAAAAATAAAAGGATAATAAACACAATTTTTGGGTATTTTTCAGGTTTGCAGGCAGATAAAATGCACCTTTAAGTATTTAACAACCATTATCTGGCTGAGGGGCAGCGCTCTCGGTCATCAAACGGCCAGTCCTGAGGGGAGAAAATGCTTTAAACCCACAAATTCTGCATTTAGTCAAAACAAAAAAGGATAATAAACACAATTTTTGGGTATTTTTCAGGTTTGCAGGCGGATAAAATGCACCATTAAGTGTTTAACAACCACGATCTGGCTGGGGGGCGGCCCTCTGTCATCAAACGGCCAGTCCTGAGGGGAGAAAATCCTTTAAACCCACAAATTCTGCATTTAGTCAAAACAAAAAAGTATAATAAACACAAATTTTGGGTATTTTTCAGGTTTGCAGGTGGATAAAATGCAAAATTGAATGTTTAACAACCATTATCTGGCTGGGGGGCAGTGCTCCGTCAGGCCAGTCCTGAGGGGAGAAAATCCTTTAAACACACAAATTCTGCATTTAGTAAAAAAAAAAAAAATCATTTAAACCCACAAATTCTGCATTTAGTCAAAACAAAAAAGGATAATAAACACAATTTTTGGGTATTTTTCAGGTTTGCAGACAGATAAAATGCAAAATTGAATGTTTAACAACCATTATGTTTAACAACCGTTATCTGGCTGGGGGACGGCCCTCCGTCATCAAACAGCCAGTCCTGAGGGGACAAAATCCTTTAAACCCACAAATTCTGCATTTAGTCAAAACAAAAAAGGATAATAAACACAATTTTGGGGTATTTTTCAGGTTTGCAGGTGGATAAAATGCAAAATTGAATGTTTAACAACCATTATCTGGCTGAGGGGCAGCGCTGGGTCATCAAACGGCCAGTCCTGAGGGGACAAAAATCCTTTAAACCCACAAATTCTGCATTTAGTCAAAACAAAAAAGGATAATAAACACAATTTTTGGGTATTTTTCAGGTTTGCAGGCAGATAAAATGCAAAATTGAATGTTTAACAACCATTATGTTTAACAACCGTTATCTGGCTGAGGGGCATCCCTCTGTCATCAAACGGCCAGTCCCGAGGGGAGAAAATCCTTTAAACCCACAAATTCTGCATTTAGTCAAAAAATAAAANTATAATAATTAGTTGATTTACTATTAATTATTAAATTAATTCTATTGATTTATTCACATAGGATTGTTAAAAATTATATTTGTTCCATATTTAAATTTATCAATAAACTTAATATGGAATTATTTAATTATTTTAACTAACAAATTTAACTTAATATAATTAAATAATTCTTTGATTTAATATTATTATATGAATTATATTGAATTATTAATATAAAATTGTTAATAACATATTAGTTTCGTATTTAAATTTATTAATAAATTCAATACAAAATAATTTATTTATTTTAACTAATACATTTAATATAACCATCAATTCGTTGATTTACTATTAATTATTAAATTAATTATATTAATTCATTAATATAAAATTGCTAATAAGTATATTCGTTCCGTATTTTTATTTATCAATCAACTTAATATGAATTATTTATTTAATTATTTTAACTAATGAATTTGACTTAATATAATTAAATAATTCTTTGATTTACCATTATTATATGAATTATATTGAATTATTAATAATCAATTGTTAATAATTATATTCATTCCGTATTTAAATTTATCAATCAACTCAATATGGAATTATTTATTAAATTATTTTAACTGATAAATTTAACGTAATATAATTAAATAATTCTTTGATTTACTTTTATTATATAATAATAATAGTAAATAATATTTACTAATTTACTAATACAATAGTAATAATATTCTATATTAATACATTGATGTATTAATATAGAATTGCTAACAATATAATAATTTGTTCATTAAAAATTATTATTTAATAAAATAATAATGATGAAAAGAAGACATTTAAGAATAAATTTAACAAGAATTTAGGAATATTTTTATTAAATTTATGATATTTTAAGCCAGTTTGCCGGCACTGACCTTCCCAGCCCGGCCACACAGTGCACGGCCACGCAGCACCCGGGCTCCTCCCGAAATTTGCTTTTCAAAAGGTTCAGCCAATCCTCNGTTCCATATTTAAACTTATTATTAAACCCAACACGAAATTATTTATTTAATTATTTTAACCAATAAATTTAACTTGAATTTACTATAATAATTAGTTGATTTACTATTAATTATTAATTATATTGATTTATTCACATAGAATTGTTAAACATTATATTAATTTAGTATTTAACTTTATTATTTACTATAATTAAATAATTAGTTTACTATTATTATATTAATTATATTGATTTATTGATATAAAATTGTTAACAATTATATTCGTTCCGTATTTAAATTTATCAATCAACTTAATGTGGAATTATTTATTTAATTATTTTAACTAATAAATTTAACTTAATATAATTAAATAATTATTTGATTTACTATTATTATATGAATTACATTGACTTATTAATATAAAATTGTTAACAATATATTAGTTCCGTATTTCAATTTATTAGTAAATTCAATACAAAATAATTTATTTCTTTTAACTAATACATTTAATATAACCAAACAATTAGCTGACTTACTATTAATTATTAAATTAATTATATTAATTCATTAATATAAAATTGCTAATAATTATATTCGTTCCATATTTTTATTTATCAATCAACTTAATATGGAATTATTTATTAAATTATTTTAACTAATAAATTTAACGTAATATAATTAAATAATCCTTTGATTTACTATTATTATATGAATTATATTGATTTATTATAATAAAATTGTTAATAATATATTAGTTCCGTATTTCAATTTATTAGTAAATTCAATACAAAATAATTTATTTATTTTAACTAATACATTTAATATAACTAAATAATTAGCTGATTTACTATTATTTATTAAATTAATTATATTATTTCATTAATATAAAAATGTTAATAATTATATTCGTTCCGTATTTAAATTTATCAATCAACTTAATATGGAATTATTTATTTAATTATTTTAACTAATAGATTTAACTTAATATAATTAAATAATCCTTTGATTTACTATTATTATATGAATTACATTGAATTATTAATATTAAATTGTTAATAATTATATTCGTTCCATATTTAAATTTATCAATCAACTTAATGTGGAATTATTTATTTAATTATTTTAACTAATGAATTTAACTTAATATAATTCAATAATTCTTTGATTTACTATTATTATATGAATTACATTGAATTATTAATATAAAATTGTTAATAATTATATTCGTTCCGTATTTAAATTTCTCAATAAACTCAATATGGAATTATTTATTAAATTATTTTAACTAATGAATTTAACATAATATAATTGAATAATTCTGTGATTTACTTTTATTATATGATAATAATAGCAAATAATATTTACTACTTTACTAATATAATAGTAATAGTATTCTATATTAATACACTGATGTATTAATACAGAATGGCTAACAATATAATAATTTGTTAATTAAAAATTATTATTTAATAAAATAATAATGATGAAAAGAAGACATTTCAGAATAAATTGAACAATAATTTAGGAATATTTTTATTAAATTAATTATATTTTAAGCCAATTTGCTGGCACTGACCTTCCCAGCCCGGCCACACAGTGCACGGCCACGCAGCACCCGGGCTCCTCCCGAAATTTGCTTTTCAAAAGGTTCAGCCAATCCTCCACGATCTGGCTGGGGGGCGGCGCTCCGTCATCAAACGGCCAGTCCTGAGGGGA